CATTTTATTCCAATAGAAAGACAACCAAAGAAAATCATTTTGAGAGAGGAATTCATCTGGTTTGCTACAGCTGTTACAGAGAGCTCCATTCCCAAGACTTAGAGCAACTCAATTTACAGTTTCTGTATTTTCACCAACTAAAGCCACTTTTCTAGTCTTGGGAGACCTTGTTGGTTCCTAACTCTGAATGCCAGCATTGGCTGTCCAGTGTCATTCCTGATGGTTTCTGGCCATTAAAAAACATTGCAAAGAGCCTGGTTCCCTTGAGATACCTAATCTAGGGTACACCCATGGGAATGGTAACTGGCCTATTGCTTCTATCTGCATTGCCAAGCCCAGTGCTATGGCAATAGCACTCGCTGACAAGAAGCAGTTAGATTACCAGAGACAAAACACAAAACCCAATTCGTGCAGGACTTGGAAAAAAATGGGTTCACATTTCAATTTTAAGAATTAGGTGCACACCTTTAATCCCAGCACTCAGGATGCAGAAGCAGGTGGGTTTCTGTGAGTTTGAGGCCAGCCTGGTCCACAAATCAAGTTCTAGGACAGCCAAGGCTACACCAAGAAATCCTGTTTCAAAAAACAAACAAACAAACAAACAAGAATTAGAAAACCGCTTTTGTGTCAGTAGTTAAGGAAAACTTGCCTTGCTGCTGTTTGACTTTGAAAACATCTGTTGTAAGCTTTGGTATTTCATTTAGTTCCTCTCTATGTAGCTCTAGCAGACAGCAAGGACAGCTGCCTGGAATCCACACCAGAGAACGTTCATGAATGCTACTTTCCCTCTGTAGCACAGCCTGTTTCTTCTTGTTTGGATAGTTTTAAAGGTACTTCTTGGGATTTGTATGCATTTCCCTATGTGTGTATCATATTGCTTGCTCAAAGTCACCCTGTCAGGACATCAGTCGGTTTTGTGCCTTATGTGGGGTTAGGAATATGAAAGAAGACTCTCTGAAAGAACCGAATGTCACAAAACTTTTTTTAACTTTACAAAATACTAACTTTGTAAAAGAACTCTATATTTCTTTGGAGTCAATTCTATCATGTTGGGAGCAGGGTTAAGACAGGGTGTTTCTCTGTGTATTCCTGGCTGTCCTAGAATTCACTCTGTAGACCCGGCTGGCCTCAAACTTAGAGATCCACCTGCCTCTGTCTCCAAAGTGCTGGGATTAAAGGTGGGCACCCTCATGCCAGGCCAATTGTATCAGCCTTAATCAGAAAGGTATATATTACTTACCTACATAGAGTACTGCACAACCATTTATAATCATCCCATTATTTTGCTTACAGTATTTTTTAGCCTACAGAACAATGTTCCATTGTGACATTTTCATAAATGTGTACCATTGTGCTTTGCCCACACTCCTCTTGGTATCACCTTCTCCTCTTCCTCCCTCACTGGCCCCCTTCTTCTCCCAGCCAGTCCACCACCTGCTTTGATGGCATTTGTATTTACATCTATAAAAATCTAGCTCTGGCTCAGTGTGGTGGCTGTCCTCTTTAATCCCAGCGCTCAGAGGAAGAGACAGGTGAGTCTCTATAATATCAAGGCTAGTCTGGTCTACATAGCTAGTTGAAGGCCAGACACATAGTGAGAGCCTGTTTCAAAAACAAAAACAAAACAAAAAAATCAAATTTAGTTCTGCATGTGAAAGAAAAATATGTGAAATAAATGTGAAATTTCTCCCAATTATGTAAGTGAGCCTCTTATGCAACCAAGGGGTTGCAAATGTGAGAATTATAATCTGATCAGCACCTTTTCCAGGCCACAGTTTAGGTTGTATGTGGGGAAACAAAGGGAATATGGATAATTTGTTTTTTTGATTTGCCTGAGGTTCCGATTTAGCATTCCTCCCCCTGAATTTAATTCATGACTCTTAATTGGTTAGCTTGAGTCCCTGTTGTGGAATATTTGTACACTGTGTGAAGATGTATTTGTTTCAATTGGTGTAATAAAAAGCTGAATGGCCAATAGTTAGGCAGAAGGTATAAGCAGGATTTTGGGGGAAAGGAAGAGGAGGTAATCGACTATGAATCAGTTGGATATACAGAATGGGAAAGAAAGGAAAAAAGCCATGAGGCAAAACGTAGTTTGTAACCAGTCTTCGCTATCCCACCAATCAGCTTCCAAATAATGACACAGAGACTTCTTATGAAAGCTCGGCCTTCGCTTAGGCTTGTTCCACTAGCTCTTATAACTTAAATTAACTCATTTAATCTACATTTTGCCTTTGGCTTTTTACCTTCCTATTCTGTGTGTTCTCCCTGCACCTCGATTCTCTCCTCCTCTTCTTCCCTTCTCTCCCTAGAAACTCCTGCTTAACTGTTGGCAATGCAGTATTTTTGGTTTTTGAGACAGGGTTTCTCTGTGTAACTTTGGAGGCTGTCCAGAAACTTGCTTTGTAGACCAGGCTAGCCTCAAACTCACAGAGATCTGCCTGTTTCTGCCTCCGAGTGCTGGGATTAAAGGCATGTGCCACCATCGCCCAACTGCCATTCAGCTTTTTATTACACCACTCACAGCAAGCACATCTTCACACAGTGTACAAATATCCCACAACAAGTCCCTTTCCATGTGAAAAGGAAAAATAGAGCTCATCTTTAAAAAACTAAAAGAGAAAAGGAAATAAAGAAAAATACCAGTTAAATAACTTCAACAAAACCTAATCCATTGCAGAAATGTGTGATAGGTCAGAAAGATACAAGACCAATGTGTACCTTTGGCCTAGTTGAGCAAGCATTTGCTAAATCAATGAGAGGGAACTATTTCAGAGAAAAGATTGACACTTCAAAAAAGATTGAGTCATTCTAAACATTTACAATATGAAATGACAGTTTAATTATAAATAACTTATCCATAACGTAGATCGAGTTGTGCCTATACGAAAATCTTTAACGTCCTTACAGGATTTGTTTTAATGATGAGGGTGGCCTTTCAATTTTAAAATGAACATGAAATACATTTTTAAAAGAAAACGGAAAACCTTTTCCTAAGTGGGATGGGCCTTCCTACCAGCCAGCTTCCCGACTGAAGGAGGTTATTGGGTGTTCTAGATTCATACACAAAATCTAAAAGTAGCCTGTCTGGGTTCAGATTCATCACCTGGGTGTGCTCATTAAGGCCACGGTGCCTTCATTTCCTTACCTGTAAAACAGGGTAACGAGTATCTAAGATATCTTAAAACTATAAAGCACCTACTGCCTAACTCCTTAAAATTTTAGATGTTATAGAGACCAAGGTAAAAAGACACTGGCCAGAGGAAGTCATACCCCAAGGTGTCACTGCGAGATGGGACATGGCAAACATTTAAATGTCACAGGGAAACCTCATTCTTGGAAGCCTAAGGTAATGTTATATTTTTACACCATGGTCCATCGCAAACCTTTGAACTCTTCAGGTATCCTTTTCTTCGGGTCCGCTGCCTGAAGAAACCCAAACTAGCCTGCCAGGTACTCCTGGTTAATTATGCATAGGTTTATCCAAGCCATTGCCTCTTTGTCTCTAGGAAAGGTCTCAACCCTCTTTTCAAGTTCCTTCCAGAAGACACCTATAGTCTTCCCTCATCCACGCCCTCCTGAGACTCCCAAACAGCTCTGCTTGGGAATCCCTTTTAAATAAATCCATCTGCTCCTTAGAGAATGCCCCACATCATCGTCTCAAAATCGTTCTTCAAAATCCGTTGTTGAGCAGCGCCCCGAGCTCCTCCGATTCCTAGTTAAAGACACAGAGCGGTGATCTGGGGCTCCCATGTTGGTGAGCTGAGCTGGTGACCAGCCTGGGCACTGCCCCTTTAGACACCACAAAGAGAGAGCGAGAGGAGGATAGTGACGCACCTGAATAGGTCCGCTAGAGCGGAGAGAAACCCAGGCTTGCCGTGGATTGAGCAGAGGACAACACTCGGCGCACGCGCGCGGACACACACTATCACACTCGCACACATCAGCACACACACACTCGCACTCGGGTGAGAGCAGGGCAGAGAGGCAGCCCCAGTTGTCTTCCAACCG